CCATTGACCGAGGCTTGTTTGAGGCATGCATGTTTTCTTCTCCCCCACCCCACTGTAAATGTTCTGTATTCTTAGATCTCTTGAGAAACCTTCATCGTGACCTTTAGGGATTTCATGTGGGAGACACACCACAGAACTAGTAATTTGAGATGGCTTCTTCAGCAGTCATATCTTGCCAGTTATTTAATCCAGTATTTAACCCCAGCTCAGCTGGCATCTTCCAGGATATTATATGAGTAGACAACACTTATCCCATCATCAAACCCATACCTCAATCCATACATTTTTCCATTGAAATAGATTCCATAGTAATTGACAGTGTCAGAAGAAGTAACCTTAAAAGTGAACAGCTTCACTCTCTGTCTTTGGTTCTGCTCAGCTTTTTTCAACAGGATTCATTTAAAAAAAAAAAAAAGTATTTTGGGTGCAGCCTGGAACTGCCTTTTTGACCCACCGTGTATTTACAGTGCAAGTCTCCACAATATTTTTCCAAAAGTTTTAGGCCAGTTCTGCCTTGGGCTATGGACATTTCCATGCTTCAAGGTGCTGAGTACCGCAGCCGTAATCCACTACAGAAGTTACTCATTTACCTAATGCTAAGGCCACAGGACCCTTGCTGATGAAAGAAAGGGTACTCGTTTCCCAAGTAACAGTGAGTTGTTGCTGTCGTTTTGCTTAACTGGGACATGAGCCTAAATATTACACTTCTAAAAGCAGATTCTCAACCTCAAGTTGAACCAAAATAATGAAGCTTTGAATTTCCAGGTGTCACAGGGATTTAAGCAAATGCTTACATAGTTTAATTCATCTTAAATTTTCTTTTAATCTTCTTTAGATATAAATAATATCATGACTGGCACTTTTTTCTTCAGAAGTTAATGCTGATGTACCAAAGGCAGCATTTTATTTAGGCAGCAGTACAGAAGTGTTCTCAGTGTATTCTCTGCTACTTTAGTTAAAAACCCCGAAACCAAACAGCCCCTCCACAAAAGACATCATCCCCC